CACCCTAATAGGCCATCATGCTGTAGTCCCAAAAGCCTATATATTTTCCATTCAAGATGCAAAGAGGACAATGTTTTACCTGGATGCTACAGGGTGCATAGTGCAGAGAAGACACACAAGCCATTTTATGGAATGAGACCGTGGTAAGAACCCTCAAAAAGCTGCTCCCCACTGGCCAATAGCCTACGTCTGCACTTGTGATACACCCCACCATCCATTATATTTACTTTTTACAGGCATTTATGTCAGATGCAATGAGAAAGTTTGTAACAAATGTCTTTGTAACGGCCTGAAATGTTTGTGGTGCGATGGATCTTTGGTTCTGCTGCATTCCCTGACCCACGACGTTTTGTCGGCTCTCATTGGAAAACCTCCTATAAATAGGATGTTAAATTATGGCAATATTTGGAGAGGCTTTGACATCCACTTTAATCCATCCATGTTTGAGCCATGTCATGAAAAACGTCCAAGACCTCTTGCAAAAAAAGTATTAGTGTTTGGGCGCATTAATTTTGTAAGATACTTTTGCTTTTATTTATACTGCTTTATGAATGTTTAATAATCTCAGTTCCTGTTTATTTAGCTTATTCGCTTTTATTTTATTTTATGAACCCTCTGGGACACTTAGGTCCTCCATAATCTTTAACCTGCTCCTAGGACGTCCCAACTACCTCTGGTGAGGCCTGTTAAGTTTATCTGATGATCTGAGGTCCACTGATGTCATGGTGTGGTTTTTATTTCTGTATTTGGTTTCATTTTGACATTAGTTTCTCGGTTTCTTTTCAGTTTTACTTCATGTCCTGTTTCCCCTGTTGATTGTTGCCCGCCCTGATGTGTTTCTTCTGTGTTCTGTCTGTGTTCTATATGTACCTGTGCTTACTCTCCCTTTGTTGCTGGTTAAGTGTCTTGTCAAGTTCAGTCCTGTTCCTGGTTAATTTGGATTTTGGAGTTTGTGTTTTTTGCCTTTGGACTTAATTTTATAAATCTTAATTATGGCATTCAGCGTTGTGTCCTCACTCATCTAACTCCTGATACACTGCAAGCTTCATTATATAAAAAGTATTTACCCCGTCTTTTTATTAAAGATTTTAGTTAGTTTAGTTTTAACAAAGATTTAATACTTTTAAGTGGCTATGCATGTTATAAGGTAGATTTAATTATTTATATACACTACTAATGAGGTGCTTGTGAACGGGTGCAGCTCTGAACTGCCACCCCCCCATCCAGGAAATGTATTAAGGGGGAAGAAAAGGGATGGATATTTATAAGGAATTTTTGTGTACATTTACTTACATAACATTTCAGCTTTTAAAAGTATTCAATATTGTTTTGGGGCGAAGGGGGGGTTATTAGTCTGTGTACTTATGATTGCAGTTTTAATGAGAGATCTTTAAGTAATAGCTCGATGAATTTTCTTTTTGTTATCTCCTGAAGGAGTTAGCTTTGCCTCGCTCCCAGACGTTGTGTTCAGCCAATCGACTCTGGGGGAGCCATTGCCCAGAACCACAAGTCCAGCTAGCAGAACCAAATTACCTGCAAGAATTGGATGAGATCCCACAAGTGCCACAGTTGTGTTCCGTCCTTCCTTCCTCATGGATAGCTAGTTTTAAAACACCTTGCGAACCTTCAGGAACTGATGAGGATGTCTGCCGCTGTGGCTGATGTCTTGGTTTTATAGAAGGACTATCCGGCGGATAAACTATGAACAAACGACGTCACTCCCAAGATCCTCCCGTACGATTCATCTGCACAACAGCCCAGAGCATTTATCTTGAATATACTATGACGCCCATAGCCAATCCAATTGTGATAGTCCAAATTTCATGCGAAATTTGGTCCTTAATTTACGACTCTCTGGGGTAGTTATGTAAAGATTAGAGCGCGACCCAGGCATTGGAAATCCCGGCGAGGTTACAATCAGTAAGACAGAAACATAGACCACTGGCTAACCCCAACTTGTACAGGCAATTTGTCTGAAACTACAGTTGGGTTGAATTATACATTTCTTTAAATTACTGTTTGCGTGTTATTTATTTTTTAGAATGACTGAGTGGACACACATTGGTGCAAATTTCAATGATAGTGATGAAGGAGCACCACTTGATGTAGTTGGTGGAGGTGGAAAACACATGTTATTCGCCAAAATTTCATTGCCCAGTTGTTGAGCCTCAGTGGTCTGGATTAATCCTTGGTTGTCAGAGATGAACGCAAAAGAGAACTGCAAAAGTAATATAATTTAATAAATGCCAAAAAAAGTAAAAACTGGAAACCGGGAACAAGAGAAGGGGGGAAAACAACAATGGGCCGACAACAAGAGGACATGAGCACAGGGTTAAAATAACACAGTGGACAAGGTGTAGACATCAGGGAGGGGCAAAACATCAACAAGACAGACATGAAGCAAAAACTCAATCAACGGGACAACAAAAAAAATATCAAAAAAATTTAATACCAGATACATAACTGAAAGTCCACCCATGAAATTGGTAAGTGTCTTGAAATGCACTTCCACTGACTTAAAAACAATTTCGGCCAATTTCTATTCATTTGTGCAGTTTGCTAAGTATTTCGAAAATTTGATTTCAACAGTTATATCAATACACTAATGCATTTCATATTTTGTTCCCTATCCATCTGGGTTTCGATCAAGGTACTCAACCACCACTGCTCTGTTAAAATGTATCATGATGTATTTTCTTGATTTGACCAAAATATGTCTCTGGGCCTCCATATTCCATTATCTATCCAACGCCTTTGCGTCTCGTAGATCACTCCCTTCTAACTTGACAAGTTAACGCCCCCCCACCCCCCCAATAGGTCTTGATACCACCGCCCATTTTCACTATGTTGTGTCCACTTGTTCCTAGGCCAACAAATTGCATAATGAAAAGGGCTCCCACTTTAGGTCCCCTTCTATTCTCAATAAGCATCAACGATCTTCCACAAGTCATATCAACATCTATATATCGCAGAAGACAGCATTTAACATCTACAGTAGGTCCCACATTCCGTTTTGTCGACTTCATTCACGCTTCTCGGGAATCACGCAGCCTGCGTGAAAATTAGTACATCTTATCGCCACAGGTGGCAGGCTAAGTCCGCTTTAAGCTTTGCCCAGCGACTTAGACGCTCAGGTATATGACTGCGTGCAAAACCTGTCTAGCCCAGAGGTGCAATGTTGGCGTAATGGTAGCGTAAACTACAGGGACCTGGAGCAACCCAGGTTCGATTCTTGTCTGAGGCACATCTTTTGGTTGATTGTGGCAAAATTGTTTTTTCCTTAAAACACACCGGTCTCACGCACGTGCACAGAGGGGCTCGGACCGCGCTCTGACCAATCAGAGCAGTTCATCAGAGCGGGAGTTAGAGCGAGAGCCAGACGAGCAGAAGTTTGTGGCACTAAAGTGTGGATTTAACAAAACCGAAGGATTCAAGACGAAAAAAAAGTTCAGGATGACAAGGGACACTAAAATCCCCACAAAATCCGACCTTTATGAAAGCTGTAGGTTCTCTTTCAGCTGAGGTTGAGCTGTTTTAATATGCATTGAGTTCTATGGGGAAAATTTCTGGGTAGCCCACGTGAATTTAGTCTGGTTTAGTCTGCTGTACCGCTAACTTACCCGCCTAATGCCTAGTTTATACTCGCGCGGAGCTTACGGAGGTGACGTGACGTCACTTGCGCAACGCGTTGGTCACCGCAAGGCCCTTACGTCGCCTGCCGCGCAGCATCGAAATTTTCTAACTACGTAAGGGTCGCCGCAAGGAATCTCCGCTGTGATTGGTCCGTGTGTGTGTATTGGAAGGAAGCATGAAGCGGCTGCAGCAGGGACATGGAGGAGGCACTATGGAGCAGAGAGCTTTGTGCTTCGAAGGAAAAGCAGTTTGGGCTCAGAGCCTGATATACAGGAGACTGTGGACTATCTAACATATATATAACATATATATAACTTATAAACTGTGCAGTCGTTTATTTTGCACTGTTCCTGTCTTGTTTGAATCGTAGCTGCGTTTGTTGCTTTCCTCCTGCACTCGTAAATCGTTCATGTTTGTCTCAGATATTTGCCACTATATGTTTTGCTGTTTGTGCTGAAAACTATTTAATAATAACCATGTTTCCAACAAGAACTGTGTCTTTATTCACAGCATCACAGTTGAAATGACTTATAAAATAATGAATCCATAAAACTATCACATAAACCTACAGTAGAAACACGTGTAATGAGCTCAAACAGCTTTGTTTGTTATTGTTGTTCTGAAGAGTACAAAGTAGCAGCGTAAATGGGACCACTCCTGTGTGATCGCCCTCATGTGGTTTGTTGTGGGATTACAACATTCTCCTAAAAACTCCGTAAGGGGAACGCGCCAGTATAACATCAATTGTGCTTACGTAGGTCCACCGCAACAGCTAACGTAAGCCTCGCCGCGCAAGTATACACTAGGCTTAAGACTCGGACATACAGGACTGAACTCAACATTGTTTAGAATAAATAAGTCTGCTACAGATAAGTGTGACATGTGTGATGTAAGTGAGACAGTTGAGCATGTGCTGTTGAAATGTGAAAAGTACAGTGTGCAAATGGATGCTTTTAAGGGCTCAGTGATAGAAGCAGGGCGGGAGTGGAGCATGGAGGGTATTTTGGGAGAGGGGCTTAATCAAGAGAAGGCATGGAGGGCACTATTTTATTTTTTAAATTCAACAAAAATCATAAATAGACTGTAACATTGTACCAAAGGCATGGAGTATTACGCTCTGATACAGTAGGTGGCGGCATACGTCAATGCTGATTCGTAGCCCGCCATAAAATTACAGAAGAAGAAGAAGAAGAAGAAGCCGCACCATGGATGTATTATATTAGAGCCATAACCGCACAGAACGTGTGGCAGCTGGACCCGGAGTTTTACACTACATGAAGTCTGTTCAAGCTTTTATTGAACAATATATAAATCTAAACAATATAAACAATCTGTAACAAACACATCTTACGGACCGTGCAGCAGACATGGCGGCTCGGCTCCAGGCGTCTGAGCTGGACTGCGGAGCGGGGTAACGTTAAAGACCAGAGTCTGTTGTTAGCATTAGCATCATTAGTTGTTATTAGCATTGGCAACATTAGCTGTTGTTAGCATTAGCATCATTAGCTCCTCAGCCTCACACACAGCGGCTTCAGACTGCAGCTCACTCCCTGTGTTTCCTCTGACTGTTTAGTCTGCTGTGTGTCTTTATATTAAACAACAGTGTTTGTATTTGACTCTGGACTAGAACATGTTTTTCTGAAGACAGTTCGTTATCTGTTTCTTATTTGTTCTTTACAACTTTTCTTATAAATATGTTTGATCTGTTGCTTTAAATATTGATTTTTAATGACTCTTTATTATGGTTGAATACATTAACCGACTGTTTTCTCCAGACAAACGTATTGGTCATTTGTCTCTGGTCTCTCTCGTCTCACACCCTGGTCTCACACTCTGGTCTCTCTCTCTGGTCTAACTCTCTGGTCCCACACTCTGGTCTCTCTCTCTGGTCTCTCTCTATCTCTCTGGTCTCTCTCTCTGGTCTCTCTCTGGTCTCTCTCTGGTCTCTCTCTCTGGTCTCTCTCTGGTCTCTCTCTGGTCCCACACTCTGGTCTCTCCCTCTGGTCCCACACTCTGGTCTCTCTGGACCAGATGACACACAACAGTATTGTAATGGTGTGTTTCTGGTGTTGTCTCTTGCAGAAGCCCAATGTTCGGTTCTGTTGGAAACACTGCACTTTCTTCATGTGAGTTTCTCAGTTATTTCACTTTCCTCTCGATGTTTCACCAGGACTGACTTTTCTAAGTGTTTTTAAGGCATTAGGACTCGGATTTAGTAGAAATGAAATCTTGAACATTGGTGCTGACATAGGCCAGAGCGGCCATGAGAGATGGGTCAAATGCAGACATTTCCGTTTGGCTTTTTTCCCTTTGTGAAAATACACAGGAATAAATATAAAAAAAACAACCTTTTATTTCAAGGCTACTCTTGAAAAAAGCAGTTCCTTTGAGGCAAAAGCGGTTCTGATGCATCTGAACAAAGTCTTCAAAGTAAACAATGATAGGTTTGTTATTATACAGTGGCTCTCGGTGTTATTCCCTAAAGCAGATTCTGAACCCTCAGATACATGTGTTCAGTCTGAGCAGTAAAGGGACAAACATGAACTTCAGTCATGTAACATGTCTATGTCCCACTGTCTCCTGCAGGTGTCCTCGTCCCCTCTGTCTCCTCTGCCCCACTGTCTCCTGCAGGTGTCCTCGTCCCCTCTGTGTCCTCTGTCCCACTGTCTCCTGCAGGTATCCTCGTCCCCTCTGTGTCCTCTGTCCCACTGTCTCCTGCAGGTGTCCTCGTCCCCTCTGTGAGTTCTGGTCTGAAGCAGGAAAACCCAGAGAGTCCACAGATCAGCGAGGAGCCAGAGGAACATGGCATCAAACTGGAGGAAGATCTGCTGCAAATGTGAGTCTGTGTCTGTGCTGAAACTGCAGCATGTTTAAAACAATGAGCTGAGCCCAGATCTGTTGTGTGGATGCAGAACTGTGGGAGTGAAGGCAGAAGAACACAGTCTGCTCCAGGAAATCCCACAAAGTCCACAGACTAAAGAGGAGCCAGAGGAAGTGAGGATCAAACACGAGGAGGAGCCGCTGTGAGTCTCTGTCATCATTCTACATATTTACTGATGATTGTCATCAGGTTCACATCAGTGACCAGTTTGTGTTTGTTTCAGTCCTGTGTGTGTGAAGACAGAAGAGTGGTCACTGCCTCAAAGACAAAGTGAGCACAGAGAGGAGACACAGGGAGAAGACATCAGCCCAGAGTCTGAGGGAGACACAGAGCACTCCTCTGACCACCACCAGGATGAAGACCTTCATCTTCAGCCTGTGTCCTCAGAGACAGATGATGATGGAGACGACCACCACAGAGTCCAGAGCAGAGCCACAGAATGGCCTCACACAGGAGACAAACCCTTCAGCTGCTCCGTCTGCGACAAAGCTTTTTCAAGAAATAGATATTTGACAGAACACATGAGGACACACACAGTAGACAAACCCTTCAGCTGCTCAGTCTGTGACAAAGCATTTTCAACAAAGCGATATTTCAATGATCACATGAAAACACACACAGGAGACAAACCCTTCAGCTGTTCAGTCTGTGAAAAGGCATTTTTAACTAAGAAATATTTCAAAGAACACATGAGGACTCACACAGGAGAGAGACCCTTCAGCTGTTCAGTCTGTGAAAAGGCATTTACCCAAAGAAATACTCTAAGTAGACACATGCGAACACACACAGGGGAAAAGCCTTACTTTTGTTCACTCTGCGAAAAGGCATTTTCCAAAAAGAAGACATTAATTAAACACATGCAGATACACACAGGGGAAAAGCCTTACACTTGTACAATCTGTGGACAGTCATTTTCTCAAAAAGATACACTTAAAGAACACACAAGAACACACACAGGCGGAAAACCATTCAGCTGTTCATTTTGTAGCAAAGCCTTTTCCACTCGGGGGAGTCTTAATGTACATTTGAGGACTCACACAGGTGAAAAACCCTTCAGCTGTTCAGTCTGTGACAAAGCCTTTTCCACTGGGGGTAGTCTTAGTAAACACATGAGGACACACACACAGGTGAACAACAGAAGAGCCATCTCAATGCACACATGTGGACAGACAGGGAAAAGTCAGTACATTGTGAACCGTCGTCAGAAACATGACACACAGGACGACACACAAGTCGACACACCCACAATAAAAATCATTTAACAAACCATTGTTCATTCTGAGTTGTTCAAGGATCATCTGCACAAAACCAAAGGGAACCATCAACTCTGTGTGTGTTAAATGTTGCTCTATAATATAATTTTTAAATAACATTTAATTTTCCCTTCTCTCCTGTTGCTGCTGTCACGATACCTGTCTGACTTTTAACAGCTGTGTTATCAATATATGCTCACGGATAAAAAAATAAATAAAATAAAGACCCCTGGTGTAACTAAGGTCATCTGTGGTCTTTGACAGTGGTGTCCAACTCCCTGTCAAACTCCTTTTTGTCCTTTATCCACCACTGTATTTCAAGATGGCGCATTGACACGGAGAGTCCTCCAGCTCTCATGTACATTTATAAGTCAATTTCTACGCCTATGAAAACAATTAAAAAACATGGTGGAGGTAAATAATCTTTAAAATGTCACATTTGTTATTGGTTTACATGTTTAATTTGGTAGAACTGTAGAAATTACACAGAGTAACTTGAAAGACCAGAGTCATGTTCTGTTGTTAGAATTAGCATTGCATAACATTAGCTGTTGTAAGCATTAACATTTGCTCCACAGCTACACCAAGCCCCTGTGATCCAAGATGGCGCCCTATTCAAACAATGGCTTGTGCACATGGATCTATTGTGCTCAGTCGCAGATGGAAAAGAGGTCGAGCTCTTTTAGCTTACATTGAGATCTATGGGACATTTTTCATGGTAACCCATGTGAATTTAATCTGCAGTTTTAATTTCTGACCAGCATCATAGCTGCAAAAGCTAATGCTGCATACTGATGTGCTTCTGAAATTTTGTCCACGTCCTGTAGCTAGCTTAGGTCCTAGATCATTAGCCTGTCCGTCCGGAGGAGTGGATCCCTTTCTCAAATGGGTCTCCCTCCCTGTGGGTTTCCCTAGTTCTCCCCAAGGTTTCTCACTTTTTCCCACTGGGTTTTTTAAGAGTTGTTCCTTGTGGATGCAGGAGGGTCTTGTTGGACAGTTAGTGTCCAACAGAAAGGATTGGTGATGATCAGGACACTTTAGCATTCTACAACATGTATGGACATTTTCTTCTGTGTGTGCTTTATATTCTTCATGTGTTTTAACTGTTGATTCTCTGACCTGTGTTGGTGATTTCAATGGTTTTGTTAAGTCTCTGAGATGACTTCTGTTGTGACCTAGGGCTATACAAGAATACATTGTATTGTATTGTATTGTCTACGGATCAGTGTTAAGGTCTCTTGCTCTTTGATGACAACAATAAAATAGATAAATAATACAAAATAATGCATCAGTTTTATACAGTACCTTTTTGGACTCTCAGTCTCTTCACATCATTATTCAGTCGGTCCAAACACGGTGGTGATAAACTACTACTGCAGCCACAGCTGCCCTGGGGCACACTGCCATCGGCCCCTTCCACCACCAACCATTCACACACACACTATGAAAAAGCTGTAGCGGAGCAGATATTCAACAGAAACTGCCTGCTGCTTTCTTATCGAAGAAATCAAATCCAGACTGGACCATGGTGGGGTTGTGGGAGCAGTCTTCCTTGACCTCCGCAAGGCTTTTGACACGGTCAATCACAGCATTCTCTTAGGAAAATTATCAAATTATAATCTATCCAAACAAACAATAAACTGGATTCGGTCATACCTAAGTGGCAGACAACAATGTGTGAGAGTCAAAAACACCTTGTCACCACTAGATGACTATACCACGGGTGTGCCGCAGGGCTCCATTTTGGGGCCACTGTTATTCAGTATGTACATCAATGACCTCCCTTCAATCTCCACTGCCAACACCATCATGTATGCCGATGATACCGTACTCTTTGTCCATGGGGAAAACGAAAATGAGGTCACAAAAGAACTGACCATCCAAACTCAGAGAGTGGCTGACTGGCTGTTTCAAAATTGTCTAACACTGAACACAGAGAAAACAGTCCCAATGTTTTTCACAAATCGAACTAAACACCTAAATTATCCAACAATTCAAATAAACGGAAATAATATCAAAAATGTCGAAAAATATACCTACTTGGGTGTCAGCCTCGACTCCACCTTAACATTTAAAAGTCATTTTAAAAAACTTCAAAACAGTCTAAACTTTACATTGGCCAACTTCAGACACATCAGAGGGTCCCTCACAGTCGAGGCCTCCCAGATGTTTCTGAATGCTATGGTTCTGCCACACTTCATGTACTGTATGTCAAGTTGGTCCCAGGGCTCCAAATCTGCTCTGGGTCCTCTTCAATCGATACACAAACGTGCATTAAAAATACATGACAGAAAACCCAAACAATACCACCACTGCCCAATCTTAACAAAATACAAAATTCTTAACCTTGAAAATAATTCATTTTATAATAATGTGTGTCTACTTTTTAAAACTATAAACGGTCTTATAGCCCCACCCCTCAGGAAATATGTGACCTTGCGCTCTGAAACAATGACCCGTGCCACTCGATCTACAGCACGAGGAGAGTGCAGCGTCCCAAAATGTACGACTTCTTTCAGAAAGTCAGCCTTCTCCGTCACTGCAACGACTCAGTGGAACTCACTCTGTCAATGCAACGACTCAGTGGAACTCACTCTGTCACTGCAACGACTCAGTGGAACTCACTCCGTCACTGCAACGACTCAGTAGAACTCACTCCGTCACTGCAACGACTCAGTGGAACTCACTACAGTAGGTCCCATTTCGTTTTGTCGCCTTTCACGCGTGAATAGCACGAGGCTCACGCGCGAATCACGTGTCTTTTCTTTTTTTCCCCCCCAGTGACGCTGCAATGACCAAAACAACCACCAGGTGGCACTTGTGAGCAGGGTTACATTGGCGTCTCATCGCTCTTTCTTCTCTCTTCACCGGACAACTATTTGTGGCTTTAAGCCTAGCGTACTGTACATCGGACTGGCAACTGATTATATCCGTTGCCTATGAGTTTCTGCCCCGCGCACATCGACAATCTGGTTAAAACGGGCAACTCCTTGTAGCAGGCCAGTCTCTGGAATAACCCGCAGACATTAAAACTACTGCATATAACGTAAACTTTTGCATCACGTTGGTGATCTTCAGTGATGGGAATAACGGCGTTACTAACGCCGTTACTTTTTTCAGTAACGAGTAATCTAACTAATTTCTTGGACTGTAACTATAACGCCGTTATCATTTCCGACATCCCGTTACTGCGCGTTACTCAAGACGCACAACGAACTTCTCTTTTTACTTCGATAGGACTCGTGCGCGTTGTCATGAGAGAAGGGAGGATGAGAAAACCTCTCAGCAATAATTGGCTGATGTAAAACATATTTCCTTTACAATCTACATGTCTGCAGTTGAGAGGATGCTCATAAATTGTGTTTTTGAAACAAATGGGTCTTAATCACACTCTACCACGGCTTGTATCACCGTGAGGCCAGCCTCAGAGGAGCGCATGTGAGCGCAGAAGTCGGCTTCATACAATTCCATCGATAAGCTCCTTTCTCCTCCTGGTTTATCTGCTAAGGGCAGCAACAGGTTTGGCTAACATACATATAACACATTTTTAGATAATCTAAAATGCACTTAGGGTAATTTTTCAATGACTATAGGAATGATAAGAAAGAGAGGTGAAGTGTAAGACGGTTGATTTTAGAAATTGGATGCACCCGGCTGCAGCTAGCAAAACAGAGGAGTTTACGGAGGAGACACGCGTTTTGTTTTACTTTTTAAAACTCATTGGACTCATTTCCAAATGGAGGATTACATATCTACGCTCAAACTATTATCTGGACTTAAACACAGAATTGGTCTGAACCGAAGAGGCCTGTGCAGGTCATTTATAAGGTAAGACCCATAACTCATAGTTTTGCGTTTTGTATGAACAAACAATGCGGGCATGAAACATAATTTGCTGTGGCCAAACAAATTGTGAATATGCCGCTCTCTTGGTCCTGTTGATTTATATGATGTATATGTTCATCTGATTGGGCTGAAGTCAGTGCTTCACCGGTGTTTCCACATTCACAGTGGAGCGTGTTGGTGTTTAGTGCTTACAGCACAGAGAGAGATGAAGAGTGAACAGGTTTTAGATGGAAATATTGGCGCTATCTCAGACTCAGTGAGGTTAAAGGTAAAACTGCGCACCTCAAGTGCACATTATGTTCCAGAACAAAACGAAAAAG